ACTGAATGTACAATATATGACTTTGTGCCTATTGTCCAATGTTACAAGTGTCTTTTCCATGGACATTATGCCAAAGATTGTGCTTCAAAAGTACACGTCTGCAGTCACTGTGATGGTGATCATGTTTACAAAGACTGTGACAAGAAGGAGGAAGCTAGGTTCACAAATTGCATTAGAGCGGAAAATGGTAAACATGACAACTCCATGGTTAAATCCTGTTCTGTGTATCTACAAGCAAGGGAACAATATCTTAAAAGGGTTGACTGCACATTTAACACTTCTAACAACAACACCATGGGTGTTCAGACATATCATTTCTGTATTTTCTTACTCATTGGTATCTCTAGTATCTGTATCTATACTTATATTGTTGTATTCCTGTTAACTATTTGTACCTCTGGTATCTGTATTGTATCTATTGTATTTGTATTAAGAGTAACCACTGTACTTCTGTTAATTGTATTTTCATTTAATTATTTGTATCTCTAGTATCTATATTTGTATTTTAAGTATTTGTATTCCTGATAACTATTTGTACCTATAGTATTTGTATTTGCATCTGAAGTACCTGTATTTCTGATATTTCATTAATCTGTTAATTGTATACTGTACCTTATCATTTATACCATTATTATATTTTATACAGTAATACCATGAACTTATGTGATAGGTGGGACTGTGCGATAACCACATAAGTCGAATTCGCGTAAGTCAGGGTATAATTTCACATATAAATACATACAAATTGTTTTTAATTGGTGCCGGAGACTAAATAAAACAATAATTTAAAAAAAAATGTTTAATAAAATCTTAGATAATACATATGTATAACAAATTATATTATTAAAATTGTAAACCAAAGTTATTTTGATTTAGAAGGCTTCATAAATCTAACAAATTTGTCCGATGGCTCAAAATTTTTTTTCTCCCGCAAAATTTCCTCGTAGCATGCTAAAAATTTTTTTATTTCTCATTTAGTAGAAGAAATGTGCTCTTCGTTGGAGTCTATATTTTCTAAAATTTGTAACCCCTTTTCAATTGAACTGAAGCCTTCTGTCAAGTTTCCAACAGTCATTCGATCTTCTGATTGAACAGGGTCTAAAGAATCGAGTTCTTCAATGTCTTGCTCTTGCTCATGCATTTCTATGAGCTCATCAATTGTCAGCTCCTGACTGTGGGAATGCAGAAGTTCTTGAATGTCATCACTATATACTTCTAAATTTATTTTCCTGGCAAGATCAACAACTTTTTCAATCACATTATCAATTTCATCAGGCTCTGGCACTGATTCCGCCTGAGTTTCAGTGGTGAAAAAAAGGACACAGTTTTTTTCCAGATGCCATTTAAAGTTTTTTGTGAAGCTTCATTCCAAGATTGTCCAATGATTCTCACTGCATCTAAAACGTTGAATTGTTTCCAAAAGTCTTTAACAGAGAGCTCGTTGTTTTGTCTCATAGCTTCGTGCAGATGTGCAAACAATCATCTTGTGTAAAAAGCTTTAAATGTTTTGATGACTTCCTGATCCTTCAGTGGAAGCAAGCTGGTTGTATTTGGTGGCAAAAATACAACTTTCACACTTGGGTCAAAATTAGTTAAAGTTGCAGGAGGATGACCTGGTGCGTTGTTGATTATTAACATCACTTTAAATGGAATTTGTTTAGATTGGCAAGAATGTTTGACTTCAGGTATTCATTAAGTGATGACCAAACCAGTCCTCAAAAAGGGAAGCTGCCATGCAAGCTTTATGATTAGACTTCCAAATCACAGGCAAGCCAGATTTAGATTTATTTTTCAATGCTCTTGGATTTTCTGAGTGGTAAAGTAAAAGAGGTTTTACTATAACTTCAATCACCAGCTGCATTCGTGCCAACTATCACTGTCAATTGATCTTTGGCGGCCTTAAAATCTGGAAAGGTTTTCTCTTCACGCATGATAAAAATTCTTTTAGGCATCTTCCAGAACAGGCCCGTCTCATCTACGTTGCATATGGTTTGGCTGGTATAGCCAACTTCATCTATCATAGCTTTGAATTTCTCTGGATAGTAAGATGAAACCTTTTTATCAGCACTTGCCACCTCTCCACTTTCTGCAATGCTATGCCAATTACAGCGACTTTTAAATTGGCTTTAAACTCTTCATCTTTAGCTACCTTTCCAGCATCCTCTTTCAATCTCTCAAAAATCAGCTTAGCTTGAGACCACATTGTGTTCTGATCAACAGGCAAATTTTTCACATTTACTTGATTATCACACCATAATTTTAACATGTTTCCATTTCAGCAATAATACAGTAATGTTTATGAATGATGCTTGAATTTAAAGATTGAGCATTTTTCACAGTTTCAAGAATTTTTTCTTTACCTTTTATAATTGTTCTGACCATCAATTCCAGTAGATCAAACTTCTTTGCCAATTCACAAATTTTCATTTTTGCATCGAAGTCTCTAATAATGTCAACCTTACATTCCAAAGATAAAGTTATTCTTTTCTTGTTTGATGCAGAAGAATCAGTTCTACTTCATTTGGATGACATGGCAGAGTCTCTCAAGTCTCCGTAGATATAACAAACACAGAAATAAATAACAAAATAAATTGTAGCTATGCGTTGATTCTGCACGACACGTCTGAACATTAAGCTGAGCAATAGTGTGGGGGGAGTGAGTAATTAAGAGTTGCATGGCGCTCAAACAAAAGACGAATCGACAAGATTTGAAAATCGTGTAACTCCAGGTTTGCGTAAGTCGAGCTATTACTTTACTTATATCTTACATTTATTACTATATCTTTACCTTTTTAATTATTTTATTATACATATATATTCTAAACATATATGTATTTTATATGTATTGTAATTGTATCATATTATAATTTTATTGTAACAGTAATATTCATTGTATTGTTTGTACAATATTGTTACTACTGATTGTGGTCACATGATACCATTGTACAGCAATAAAATGATTGATTGATTGATTGTACTGTACATTCATACTTAAAGCCTGGACATTCCATCTTTTAAATTTTATAAAAATGTCATGGAACAATTTAACATTCTAAAGGAGGCTTATGAAGTCAGCCAAAACATTTGTCTGCTAAATAAACAGTGCTGGAAACTCTGGATGGTTTTTAGTATTGTGTTAAACAGAATGAATGATGTATAAAGTATACAATATGTTTTTATATTTTAAACAGTTAAAGCATCTAGAAATGATTAAATCAAGACTGAAGACAAATGAGATGTGTTATGATGTTGAAACTATCAGTCCTCAGTTTTGTTACAATTAGCAGATTTCAGAGTTTTCAGATTTTCAGTAAGGGTGATTCATACATTTGGGTAGTTCATTTACTCCTCATCTCTTTCTAGTACTGAAAAATAGTAAGTTATGGCTGTAAGTTGACTTAAAGTTTAATTTATATTTTGTCACAAATGCTATTTAATTTTCAATTTTGCAAATTTTAAACACAAAATATTTTAAAATTTGATTTTGTAATGTGTTGTCCTTTGAAAAATTAACATATATTCTGAATCTCTTTGAAAATTATCTATATTGATAATAATTGAATTAAAATAAAAATTGATTTTCCAATATGTAAAGTAGAATCAAATAAAATCAGCAAAAGTAATCTATAACATCAATTAATAAATTAAGCTACATCATTTAGCATCAAACGGAAAGGTAGGAATATATAGAAGATGCAAGGAAAATTCTACTGGCTAAGGACTGACTTCACAGACATGCTATTACTGAAATAATGACAGTATTTTGTCATTATAAGATGTAATAGCATTCAAGCATATTCACAAAACATGTCATTGATTGAAATGCTATTAAACTGCATCATTCTTTTATAACAACAACAGAGGTATTGTTATTCACCATTTCAAGGTGTGGAAGAAATTGTTCATGGTCAGTGATGATGATAAATACTTGTGCTGAATCTATCAGTTGCCCTCATCTAGCCATCAATGATATTATAGTTTTTACACTTATTAGATATTATTTATTATCAAAACGAAATTTTTTTAAAAATTCAATCAAGAAGCACAGATTGCACATATAAAACTATACTAACAGAGCATACACAATTCTAGTGGATACTGATGTTTTAAAATTTCTTATAGCGGCAGTTTTTAATCTGTTGCAGATGATGATGTTCATCTTAATCAAGTAACAATATATAGAATAATTAGATATATATTTGATACTTTATGTAAAATTGAACTAAAGTATATTGCTTTTCTTATAATGATAAATGCCAATTGCATTAATTTATTTCTATGAAGTTTTTAACATACTAATGATGTATTTTTTGTATCTGACATTTCATTAAAATAGACATTTAAATGTATACAACTTTATTTTGACATTATTTTTTAATTCAAAATAATTTTATTGTATGCTTACTGTAATATTCTAAACATACTGAATTTAATAAGCATTAATTACAGAATTTATTAATTAAAGCTGTTATGATTCTTCATATTATAAACTGATTTAAAAGACAAAAACAAAATTTCTTAACTTCACTATTTTGTATCCACCCTTCTTTCATGATTACCATCACTTAATGAGTGCTAAATCCATGAGTAAAATTTCTAATTTCTTATTGGCCATAGCCAATAGAAATGCTGATAACATCCCTAACTCTCAATGCCAGATGCTAGTTATTTTATCATTAGCAATGCAATGCTTCACAACTTGCTTTTATAAATTGCATCTAAAACAAATTGTTAAATTGCCATTTTTAATGATATCATTAGTAATGACATTTTCATGAATCCAACCAAATTTGTAGTACAAACTGTAAAGTTTGTTAGCAGCAGTATTTATGATATGGTTCTTTTTCATGATTTGAATTGATTTATTGTAAATTATTTAAAATATACTCCAACTCAATAATAAACTGATTACAAATAATTGAGCAATTATTAAACATAAATAAGTTAAAATATTTCATATCTTAAATGAATAAATGTTAGCAATTAATAGTCACATTTACCTTGTGTAAAAAAATAAACTCTTGTACCATCTCCTCTAACATAAAAATGATTTTGTAAGCAATGTCCTGGTTTAAAACGTAATTCTGCCATATCATATTGTCCATAGTCTCTAAATAAGATAACCCCTCCTGGTTTTAAATATGAAGTTAAATTCTTAATTGCACAATGAAATCTGAAATCAAGTTAAATAAAAAGTAAATATTTTAGCAATTCATTTAAATTCTTATAAAGTCATTATGATAAATTTAATACAATATTAAATTCTATTTTTAGATTATAGGATAGTAGGCAAGAATGGTGAATTCTTAACCCTGGTGAGAATGAAGTAAAATTTAGCAGATAAATATACTGCTTTGCATATGGCACAAACATTATATGAGTTCAACAAGCTCATGCATTTATGAAAGTAAACTAAGAGCTGAAATTTCAAATTAATATTAAAAGTATTTGGTTATATTAAAAGGTGCATGACACAATCATGCTGCTAATATATACATGATAAAATCTGAAATAAATTTCTTTTATGTTTTTATTACAGTTAAATAATTGTAAGGATCTTTAGAAATCAATATATGGGATTTCCATAAATTACATAATGCTACTTTTATGCTTTTCAACTATCATTCTATCTTCTGTAATGCCTGTAATGTTGTTACACATATCCAACCAGAGCTGTTGAGGGGGGACAAAAACTGGGAATTTTTCTCTGGACTCAAAGAAAATTTAGGTATTCATAGTGGTCTCCACCTCTATAATGTTATTTTTTACAAATGAAAAATAAAATTTTTAAGACTGCTCTTTTATTAATAAAGCAACATTCTACATATTTTATATGTTCAAAAATAAACAGCAAAAGGGGCCTGCTCTACTCTTGGGCCTCATACAATTTTGGGTCCTGTACCAAACCACCAAATTACATAATGTGTATCCTCAACTAATCCTCTTAATTATATTAAAGATTTAAAAGTAATTGTAATGATTGGCTATGTGTGAGATGGATACTTGGAATAAAAAATTATAGAATGTAAACTTTTAATTAAAAAATTAAGAAAGTAAATTTTAAAAGGCAAAATAGAATCACAATTTATGGAACTAGATACAGTGGAACTCGGTTAACGAACGTAATCCATTCCACGAGTCCGTTCGTTAACCAAAGCAATTTTTCCCATAGAAATTAATGCAAATACAATTAATCCATTCTAGCCATCAGTATTTTTGTAATTTTATTTGTAAAATTGGATTTTCTTTGATTCTTTTAAAAAAAAAACGGGACAAACTTTTGCATCAACCCAATATAATTTAATATCCACATGTTAAAAGCGAAAACACTATTGTTAAGTCAGACCAAAGTTCAGGGAGAAGTAAGGAAAAAACTGTACTGTAGTTGTCAAAACAAACGTGATGCAAAAACGAATGACGTAACGGATCAGGTGGAATGTCTGTGGGGAAGATGAAACTCTGACAGAAGCGATCATAAATAGTTGATCTAGATTAATTTTCAGAAAAGGGGAACAATTTGACAGGTATAAAAACATCGCGTACGATCGTTAAAGTTCTAAAATGACAGAAAGCAGAAACAATAGGCTAAATTATGAGCAAAAGGCTTATAGATTTATCAACAATCTCCAATCAGAGTTGACAAACAGATGTCAAATAAACACCTCGGAACAAACCTTTCTCGTGACCTGATCTGGTTTCGGTTTTCACCTGGAGACAAAGAAGAAGAAAACAATCGGGAAGCGAGGAATGGGACGCAGGACTAATCATAAGGTGAGATTCAAGGAAGAAATACTATAAAAACCCCGAATCTCAAGGTCAAAACGCAGTTTTCCTAAAAATTCTATGGCGATTAATCTGTGTCGTCTTCATCTGAATTAAGCCTGAAGTCGTGCCTGCTAAAATTTGTGTTGTGTCTTGTGGACCGTTCCAGTCGTTGCAGCTCTGTCACCTACCATCGCTTCTGTGACCAAGCGAACCCATCTCGTCCGCTCTGGGGCTACGACTGATCAGCTTGCACTATCGTAAGACCAGCGATATGCCACGCCTCAGTGTCGGGAGAAAATACCGTTGATAAGCCATTTCCAACCACCTCAAATATGTAAGCATCTTCCCATTCTAATAAACGATTTTCACTGTAAAATATTTGTCATCTTTGTCTCCTTTGCCACCACCAATGTAGGAATGGACCCTAGACCATCACCGACACATGATTAACTGATTCCTCCTAGAAGTCAGCAAGCTTACAAATTTGACACAAAAAGCCAATAAGTTCATTATCTGAGACAAAATTTTTGAAAAATAAAAGTTTGTTAACTGATTTGGTTGTTAACCAGGACATTCGTTAACCGGGGTTCCACTGTATGCTGCTACTGTTATCGTCCAGAATAGAACTCATTTTTATCTCAAACAACTATACAAACAAAAATAACTGAGAAAATATTTAATAAATATATAACTACTGTCAAAATATGCAGATTACAAATTCTTACAGTTACTTTTAAATCAAAATTTAAAAATAATTGTAAGAATTTTAAATCCTGAATTAAATTTTTTTCTGTAAGCATAAGAAGCAAAATGCATGCATGCATAGTTCATATACAGAAAAAAATACAAAAAAATTTAATTCTTCAAACATAAAAATTAGACTTGTTCATTTGAAAATATATTAATTTTATGAATTTGAAAATATTTTGTAATATATATTGATATCTAATTTTAATACCTGTAAAGTACTTTCAATTGATTTTATTATAGAATTATAATTAAACAATTATTATATTATTTGATCATAAATGCTTAATGTATATACTATAATTAAAAAGTTGATATTGTAAAAATGCTTACTTGTCAGGATTTATTGCTGATAAAACAAATATAATAGTAATTATATCTAAAGATGATTTTGAAAATGGTATATTAGTAGAGTCAGTTGTGATATCCCATACAAATGCATGACATCTGTTTTCATCATAGGAAGCATTATTCTAAATAATAAAAATATTTTCATAAATCTTATATTTATTCNTTTAGATGTTCGGTGAAATAGAATTAAAAAATTTTAAACAAACAAATTGTTAATTTTATATTACTATTCAAATATATATACAGTAGAGCATCGATTATCTGAAACAATTTGGGACTGGGGTTGTTTGGATAACTGATCATTTACGAAAAAATACATTAAACACAAAACTGTACTATATATATTTTGTATCACATGTGTTACAAATACATACAAATTACATAAAATAGTACATTAAAGTAGTCCTAAAGTTTAGGTTGCAGGGAATGGGAGAATGCTGTAGTGCCACAGCACTAGCAGAAATTTGAATTTGTTGATTCGGTTAATGATGTTTTGGTTGATTGGTATTCAGATAATTGATGCTCTAAAAATATAAATTTTCATACTCACTTTTACAATAGAAATTGCAACTTCAGAAAAATCACAACAGTAAATAAAAAAGTTGGAATCACTGAAAATGCAAACATTAAATTATAACTAAATAAACTGCTAGTGTGATACCTTGATTTAGACCAGTAATTCCCAAACTTTTTCGAGCCATTGCCCCCTTGGTTCCATAAACTATTATTCAATAATATAAGACAATGCCCCCCAACCATTTTCCCTTATGTGAGAAAAGCTTGGAAATATTCTTAGAAACACTTTTCTATGAATCTCACAATTTGTGTCCTTACCATACATTGTTCTTCATATCTGAATGATATTAAATGCAATTTTTCTTTTTACATGTTTTAACAGAGGAAACGAAAAGCTTGTCAGTGACTCACCTATGATTATCATTTTATGATAATCATAGGTGAGTCACTGACAATAGATGAGACCTATGATAACCCTCACCTATGATTATCATTTAGTACCCTGCTTCCAGCACCCCGTCATCCACTTGCTTCTTTTTGTCCCACTAATTTACTTACAGGGGGCAGTAGTACCACTTTGGGAACCACTGATTTAGACAATATAAAACTAAACTCATTAAATTAAGGCTACACATTAGATATATTTTCATATAATGAATCAAAAAACTGATTATTTAGGGATTTTATGTTATCACTTAAAGTTTATAGTGTTTGCAAACAATGTTTTATTAACAGACACACTTATCAACAACTTAATACTTTCTTTAATCAAGACACTAAACAATTTGATAAGTTATTTCTGTTAAGATAATAAAACAGGAATAATGTTTCATGTTAATGTTATGTTAAGATAACAAAACATTGTTCCTGTTTTATTATTTATTATCTTAACAAAAACAACTTACTAATGATATGGCAATAAGAAATGAAAACATTAACAGCTGTTGTTTCAGTTTAACAAAAACTGATTAATATACAAAATAGCCTTAATAGTGGCGATGATGCAGTCTACAAAGATTTAAACAACAGTTGTTCATGAAATACAATCCAAGCCAAAAATGATAATATAAAACAGCCAAATAACCAGTATTTGGTTAGCTACATGAAAAGACACTTGTTACATATTTAGTTTTAAGAACCTTTACCTAACTTTTAATAAAATACAAAGTATATTACTAAAACACATATCCAAATTTAAAAAATCAACAAAGATTAAAATGTATTGTGTGTCTTGAGAAGATACAAGACTTTGACTGTAGATTTTTGTGAAACTAAATAATATTATATAACAGACATGGGCAAATGTGGCTATTTTTGAGTTACATGCAGCTCTTGCTGAAAGTGTTATTTTCTGTTTTTTACTATTATTTTTAAATTTTATTTCCACAATTTTGTGAAAATATGTTTATTAAAAAAATTCAATATTTCTTTTATATTATACTTATATAATAAAATCACGGTACAGAATAAAAAAGTACAGAACTGCAGCTTCCATGCATTTTGCAAAACCTACATTTCGGCTCTCATTGAACTCGTTTGCCCATCCCTGTACTATATTCTAGCTCGCTGTGTATTACCAACTCTTATTACAGGCTCTCTAATCGCTGGCTGATATCAGCGTTGAATCACGGTTGTATAGACACTGATTTATTATCAGATTATACCGACTATTATTAGCATGACTTTTTTTTTACTTTTAAACTGATAGCATCCTAATGAGGATATGTCTATTTAATGTTTGCAAGCTATATAATAACATTTTTAACATTAGAAAAGCGATTATCTCTCTTTCCAAAACAAAAAGAAAGACATATCTGTATAGCAAAGTTAAAATTTTTATTTCATTTAACAATTAAATTGTACAAACGTCCGATGCGAAACAGAAGTTACGTTATTTCAATTCAAAACTTCTCGCTGAAAGCAATTAATAGATGACTGGCGTGGCTCTATCGTTAAAGGAAAAGTGTGATGTACAGGGGCAAGCCATTACTAATAATTTGACATGGAGAGCATATATTTTAAATTACAAAAATTAAAAATATGATTAAAATTGCATCCAAATATTGTGACGATGTCACAATAAATAATTGCTAGTTCGCTAGTTTACTCGTTACTAGCATTTATAATTTTTTCCATACCTTTAAAATTAAACCTTTTGCCATTTTATAATAATTAAAAATTTATATAACAAAATCTCATAACAGATGGCGCCACACACAATTTTATTTATTATAATGTAATTAAAAATATTAAAGTTATTTTCTAAATAAAATCTCACAACAGCAGAGAAAGTTACGCAACTCGTTGGTTTTGATAGATTTTTTATAAAAACAGTTACATTTTTTTGAAACGAACGATCTTTTTCTCAGTTTCAATATAGAAAGATCTACATTTGATTGTTTCGTGTAAAATACATACACGATATTTTCTATCGGTCAGGTAAATTCATAAAATTCGCTTATTTAATATACAAGTTACTTTAACGTTTACGTAACTAAACTATAACACGCATATTTAATATAACCAACGTTCGATGACGTCAGGTAACCGCTTTTAAAATGGCGTCAGATTGACGAAATTTTACGAAATTTAATAAAAATTGCGCTGTCGGTCAATCGAAAAATTCGTCGGAAAATACTCGACGAACGAGTGGAAGAATTTCTTCTAATTTTGGGGGGTGGCGAGGTAAAGATGACGTTCGATTATAGAAATCTCGCTTCTAACCCCTGTGGAGAATACAAACCGAAGATGGAGAGTGGTAGGGAGTATGTCGATCCCAATCCGTCGTCACTCGGGGGATAGAAACGTAAAAAATGCCGATATTTAGCCTTAAAATTCAAAAAGAATCCATGACGTCAATCGCATTCGAATTCGTTACGCGCTTTCTAATCTCCATAGAAACGGCAACAATTGCCGTTTCTATAGAAACGCGTATTGTTGCAACACGATTTTGCGTCACTTTGCACGTTTTTCGCTTGCCGAACAGACGTGTGCGCTCTGTGCTCTGGTTTTTGCTGTGTTTTTTGCTTTTTTCAGTGTTTTTTGCTACCGGAACGTGGTTTTAAGAAGACTTGTGGACGCCGACATTACACCAAGTAAGATTTTAATTAGAATTTAGCTAGCTTTAAGATTTTATTTTCGTTTCGTTTAGTGCAACTTTCGAAGACGACATCGGCCGACTCGGACTTTGCATATTTGCGTTTAAATCTGCCGTCGCTTGTGTTTTTCGTTTGAATTACCATCCGAAACGCATCTATTTCGACTTTTAAACCAGCCGCCACATTGGAAAGCGACCGAAGCGCCGAAAACGACGGACGCAAAGGATTAAGTATTTGTTCATTGGTTTATTTTCGTAATTAATTAATTTAGATTATATTTTATAAACACGGTCAAAGAATAAGGATTATTTGCAAATATCTTATTTATAGAAATTCGATTAAAACTTAGTTAATACTAACTCTAAATACGAATTGCGTATCGTAATTTTAACTAAAACATACACTCGAAACCGGATGGACCGAAGGATACACGGAGACCGCATTCTGAAGCATGACACGTTCCTTCGACACATCCGGGACGTCAAAAATTTCGCCCTTTCACCTCCGACTTCTCCATTGAATCTACGTATTAGTTACAACGCTTTTCAATGGCTTACTTTGCGAGAATTAAATTGTCTGCAGCTGTGCGACTTAAAACACAATCTAATACACTTAACAGTTATCTATACAGGCTGGACACAAAGAATTCTTTTCCTTAAGCTGTTTGTCTCTTTCCACAACGCGGTCTTTTCCGAGTGCAGTCCATCTTCCACACTTACGTAACCCTCTGCAAATGCTTTGTGCCACTTAAACGTTCGTGTCCCGGCTGCGGGCACGTCTTGTGTTTTCGTCGACTCTCGTACGGAATTTCTTCGCACGAAACTCTCTTAAATGCCATCGTTGCGGTTAGGTGACGCACGTTAGGGTAAATTGCTCTAGAACGAAACACTCGTTACGACTTGGGCTCGAGATCGAGTACGAGTGCCTTTTGCGCATGGCTACGTGCGGCGTGTCTTTACTTTTCTGTCGTACAAATACAAATTACACGTAAGAGTTTATTCGTTCCGGGTCGGTCGTCTCTACTGCAAATGCAATTCGAACGTTCTAGCAATTTCCGGTAGGATCTAACGCGAGCTCTGTCGTGAGTATTATCTTGTACTTTTTCTGCGTTAAGTATATCCGAGACCCATTAATATATATATATATATATATATTTTTTGTTTCTTTACAGAATGAAGAGCTGGCGGTTTTGGCGTTGGCTGCGGCCCAAGAAGATGAAGAAGTGTGAAGGGCGTTCTCCTTCCGCAATCGATGAAGAGAGGGTCTTTTCCCCCTTTGAGCGGGGAGAGGAACTCTCTTCCATCGATTGCGGAAGGGGTTCTTCCTTCACGGGATCGCCTTCGGGAATAGCGGATGTCGACAGCATTCTCTGTTCCGCGTTGAACGGAGAGGAGACATTTCGCCATTCGGACGTGTTCCGAAAGGTGAAATGTCTCCATGTTGACGACATCATCTTTGACGCACTGGGAGGGGAGGAATGTTTCGATCATTCCTCCCTTTTCCAACGAGTGGGATCCTCTCGTTCGGTGTGGGCAAAGATGGAAAGGAAAAAGCGTCGCTTCGTAAGAGAAGTGAACGACTTTTTCCTTTGCTATTTCTGAAGGATATTACTAACCTAGGATAAGAAGGCAAGAGGTTTTTTTCGTTTGTTTTTTCCTCTTGTCGTACTAACAACATTTAAATTTAAGGTTTTAGTTTCAATTTACTAACGTAGGATAAGAAGGCAAGAGGTTTTTTTAATTTTTTTTTCCTCTTGTCGTACTAACATTAAATTTAAGATTTCGGTTTCAATTTACTAATGTAGGATAAGAAGGCCAGAGGTTTTTTATTTTTTTTTCCTCTTGTCATACTAACATTGAAACTAAAACCTTAAATTTAATTTACTAACCTAGATGTAAGAAGGCAAGAGGTTTTTTATTTTTTTTTCCTCTTGTCGTACTTACGTTAGTTTAGTAATTCACATCCACACACATAAACAACAACATCCCTCATGCTGAAACACACAGTT